GAGAGGCACATGCAGGGTGTTGTAAGGTAAAATAGTCCCGAAGAAAACTTAAATTGTTCAGATTTACCACTATTGTACTATTATAAACATTAAATTTAAAACCCTGGAGGTTTTGTTTAGTAAATAAAATGGCTATATTTGTGTTGTAGACATTGTGATGCCTGGTTCTCATCACCACCACTGTAAAGAAATGAGTCTCTACAATGAACCACTTCACAACAAGCCACTTTGTTTACATCTCAACCACTGAATAACACAGAAATGTTGAAAAATTGGTGGAATCCCCCTTCAAATTTTGTAAAGAGTCGGTCCCAAATGAAACCGATGCGTCACATGAAAGCTGTAAGAAACAGTGACAAAATGCTTTATATATAAAAATGAAATCTTTTATTGGTGGCTTTGATGATCCAGTTTTGCAATGCTAAAGGATAAAAACGAAACAGGCAGAGTGGAGGAGCTGGAATGTGATGGGACACAACCTGGGAACAGAAAGTTCAGGGACTGTCTGGTGCCATTAAACTGTCTCAGGTTTGGAACTGATGAGCCACACAAGGGCTTTTGATGACTGGTTCAAAAATACTATTGCAACCATCCAGATGGGCAGACTTAAAAGCAACAGTTTAGCGAAAAATCCAACGGTCAGAGTTTCCACTTTACCTCAGTTGCAGTTTGCTTCTTCAGTTTTGCACGGGAGCTACGAAGCTAATGTAGCTAAAAAGTAGCACTGTGCAAACTGCATCATTAAACATGCACCTCAAACTGCCTCGAGTTGTTGAGTCGCCTCAAACAGACTTGCTTATATGGTTTATATTGTATGACACTGCTAAGTAGGGCTGACCCTTCTGTATGTGTTCGTTATGATTGTATTTGTTTCCTTACTTGATATTTGGTAGTTTGTTAATGCTAACAGAATTCTAGAACAATCTCGTGTCTCACGATTCCTGGCAATTTTCAGAGTTAGAGTCTTATCACTGTTTAAAACAAAACATTTTACCATACGACCAAGAGAAAAATGGGACTTACTTAATGATGAATATGATAATAAACTATAACGAACTGTCAAACCCAGCTAACGTTAAAGCCTCAACATAGATCCGCCTCCCCATGATTTCACAAGTCACCCCTTTTCTTTGAAAGACTGAAGCAAGATAAGCGTGAAATGCATTAAAATGGCAAGCAACGTTTAAACAAATAGGCCAAATTGCCAAATGCACATTGATTTGTCTGGCTTTAGTTTTGAACCTTGAACAAGGTTCAAGTCAAGCGTTTAGCCACCAGGGAGCTTAGGCTACGTTCACATTACAAGCCTCATTGCTTAAATGCGATTTATTGCTCAAATCTGATCTCTCTGACACGACGGTTCACACTCGTTTGGGAAGTGATTCAAATCTGTCATTAATGTGATGAACCGGTGTCCTGAAATGACCCACATGAGCACATCCTACTCAGTAACGTCACGTGAATGAATCTCGTGCATCATCAGCACAAACTAACGAGCAGAACGAGCTTCACTGAGAAGATCATTAACTCTGATCAGCCCTCAGCTTCATTATTAGAGCGAGACGAAGGAGAAAAAGGTGAGATGAGCTGCTTTTCCACCATTTACAGGGTTTAACTTCTGTTCGGCGCTGCTGCCATGGTAACCCTGAATGATGGCGCAGCGCAGTGGAAAAAAAGCACATGAATTCAGATCTGAGCGTCACATTTAGGTCACATGGCCCACGACTCGGATACGTTTCTGATTTAGGACCACATATGAAAGTGGCTCAGGTCGGATTTGAAAAGATCAGACGACTTGTGTTCAAACAGCTTTGAAAACATCAGATCTGAGTCACATTTGGGCAAAAAATCGGATTTGTGCCACTTCAGCCTGGTAATGTGAACGTAGCCTTAGACACGAAGACAAATACAGTTATGGAGCTAATCAGTTTAGCTGATTCCTAAGTTATGAATGGCTTGTAAATCTATATGAATTCAGAACAAAACACAAACGTGTGTTCAAATTATTTCACACGACAGAACTGAGCACCATGTTAGCGATGGAATATGAACTCGACTATCCATTCAGTAAAACTGCTAAACTGGCCGTGAAGATTTTAAAAGATTTCCGTCTTGAACTCGCTGAACTCTAACAAAGCAAAAATCCAGTCCGACTCATCTGACGTAACATTTCAGCACATTTGTCCCACATCTTTGGGACGTCCATCGTGAAAAGGGATTTATAAACGTATAAAAGCAAATATATCAAAGTAAGTATGATAAATTATGTAAATATGATTGTTTTTACTAAGGATGAGTGTTCAGGCACTCCTAGATGCTGTAAATTGCTGTTAAGGACAGACATACTGTTATTTATATATATATAAAATTGGACAAAAGTATGTTGCATAGCTAAAAACAGTATTAGCAGTACATTTTGTGTACATTAGCCTCGTAACTCCCTGTGCAAAACTTCACACACCAAACACGTCTTGGCTGACCACATCTGTGGCAAGAGGAACACTGTGCAAATGAGATTTTTCGCCAAACTGTCGCTTCAACGTAAGGCAGAGGATTTAACAGTACAGCACTCTCAAACCACTGAGCGGCGCCAACTTGACACCTACAACACTGTGAACACCAGTTTAGCTTGGCCCATCGTTGGCTCCCAGACACTGAACGTTTCTGTACTGTTTTCAGAAAAGGATACAGCATTACATCAACAGAGCGACTTCAAAAGTAAGGACAACCTCGATAACGTGACATTTTATGACAAGCTTCCTTTGCAAGATAACGTTATTTCAGGCTTGGTTAAATATGCAGTCACTAAAACAGTAGTTCAGAGTGTCGTCCTTGGTTACGTCCCAGAGCCGAGCGCGATATGAAGAGGAGCACAAACGTCTCTTCCAGCAGCTTCAGGACAGGCTGAATGGGGAAGGTCGATTTCCAGTGGGTTCACTCGCGATATTCGCGTTTTCGAACGTCACATTCACACATTCCTGGTTTTGGGGAGACGCTCAGCCGGTCGCTGAACGACAGCGATACGTTGCGGTTTGGGCGAATAGAGATGGTTGGTATCATTTATGGATGCACTAATACGGACTATCTAGGCCGATAACAATAACCAATAATCCGATAATAGACACCTTGTTGTGGCCGCTACCACTAATCGATAATTACATAATTACTTTCTTCACATTTTTAAACGAGTTCACACTATAATCTTTATATGAAGTGCAGTAAGCGTAAAGCCGACGTCACACTGGACTGTTGCTTTGCTATTTTCTTCTCCAGCGTGGAGCAAAAGGGTCCTGATGTGGTTTTTGCAGGGAACATTCAAACAGCTAACATTAGCTAGTTAACGAGTTTGCTTTATTGCAGCTGTGAGTGACAAGCGGCATTTCCTCCTTTTAGTCATTTTTTCAGAAGACACTGCCGTTTCTATTGGCTGAGGTTCCTAAATCTGCGATAAATCTGAGTTAAAGTTCACCCATGAATTCTGTGCAAAGCAAAATTAACCGCTAAGTGATTCTCTTTTTTGCGTTCCCTCGTTCTTTCCCATTCAAGTGAATCACCTTTTTAAAATTCATCTTAAACTGTAGCTTAAAACAGACTAAAACTCTACAGATTGTTGATTCAATTTACAAAGGCATAGCATAGCTAGATCAGACATGAGGATTAGGGTCCTTTCAGATGATAAGAGTTTTGCGCTTCGCTCATCGTGAGGCTGGACGCACATTGCTGCAGGGTTTGAGTGGCACTACGTCAACAGCACTGGTCTAAAAAGACTACAGTTCCCTATAGATCATCTACAGATGTTTAAACTGTTAACAAACTATCTGTTGAAACTCAGCTGATTCTAAACAGTGGTGGGGTTAAGGTTAGGATTTGGACCAGGGTGAGGGTTGGGTTTAGGTTTTGGGTTGAGGTTAAGGTTGGGTTTAGGATCTGAGCCAGGGTTAGAGTTAAAGAAAATTATGGTCAATTTAGTTGATATGTAGTTGAATGTAACTTAAGTATCTACACAGCATCTAAAGTGGACTATCCAAATAAAGTGTAACCAAAAAGGTTTTGGTGGTCATGGTGAGAAGATGGTCAGAGTTCAGAGCAAAGTGGCAAATCTGAGCGGTGCAACTGGAGATTATCGTTGCGCTCCATAAAATAAAGGTTACTGCAGGTGCGCAAAGGAAAAAATCTGAATAAAAGTGGATCATCATGACCACTGATAATAGCAAGAAGCCGAAGCGTTTGCTCGGTTTGTGTCTGGCTTTTTATAATCTATTTAATGGAATAAATATATTGTTGCTAGACTTGTCTGATTTTTCAGCAGTGTGTGGACAATACTCTTCTCACTCCAAGGCCCAATCCCATTTCACCCATTGCCCCTACCACTTAGACCTTAGCCCTCTGTTTTGCACGTTCACATCTAGGGGTAGGGTGTCTCATTTTTTGTTGAGATAGAGGGGTAGGGCGAAGTGTTAGGGCTACATGACCCTCCAAACGGAGGTTTTTCAGATGCACAATCCAAACAGAGTGTTATGAAAAAAAAAAGAAAAACCGGCAAGTTGGCTGCGCGAGTGACCAAAGAAACCCACACGTGAGAATCTTCTCTGTTAAAAATGACATTAACCATTGTATTATTTTAATTTAATGTTGTTTCAATGTATTATGGTCCTTTTCTTCATAACAAGCATAAAGAAATCGCTAATAGCATGCTAAAGTCTCGGTAACTATCTAGCTAACTTTCCCGTTCCACCTTAAATAGTCCAGCAGTTCTGACACCTGAAGCGCCAGAATGTAACTGCTGCACCATTTAAGGTGGAACGGGAAAATTCGAACAAGAACCTAATGAATAGCTGACTTCAGCTTCGTATCACCAAAGAATTAGGGGTGGGTGATAATAAATAATTGTCCTCTTTGAAGGTATATGATGTCCTAAATGTAACTAAAACCCAGCAGTGAGGAGCTGATCTTTAGCCTCCTCTGCTGTCACTGCAGATGGGCCGGGTCGCCTACAGAGCACCGCTAGTAGCCTGTTAATGAAGTAATGCTCTATTTATTTATTTATTTATTTATTTAATTTGAGGATCCCATTTCTTGGGCAAGATTTCAACCACTACCCCTTGTAACTCAGTTCCAAGGTGAAGCGACGCCGCTCTCTCCATAGGCAAACAATGGCATCATGGGCGCAGAGCAGTTTTGCCAGTTATCATCTGAAAGTGCCTTAAGGCTAGTGTAGATTTAGAGATTTAGCAGACAAGGTTTTCCATATCGACTTAGAACAGCAGGTGAATATAGCTTTAGGAGTAGACCTGACAGAATGTGGTGCGTTTTGCAGCCATTGGGTTGAGGTAAATGAACGTAAATAGAAGAAAACAGAAATGCATTTATTTAGACGCATCATTGGTCTTACGAAAAACAACAAAAGAGTTCTGACTTCTGACACATTTAGAGGGTGAGTGATGTTTCTATAGTTTGATTTTGAGCTGCTTCTCTCGTCATTTGGGAGCTACTAAGCACCGACAGCTACAAAGCTAAACAGCTAATCAGCCAATTTGGCGACTTTAGGCTTTTAATAGCTGCACACAATGAACCAAAGACAAAATGTTAATTGTGGTTATTTAATCATCAGCTAAAATTTCATGACAATGAGGTGGCTTGTTATCGGTTGTAGTTATTGGCTGTGATTCCAACGTCGGGCCAATTATAATAATGAAATTTCCCATTTATAGGCGAATAACGTATCGGCTATTGTGCACCCATTTCGTGGCTTTAGCTTCAGTCCCTGAAGACCACGGCAAGAGATCGTAAGAGACACATACACACAGACAGAGGAAACCCCTGAACAAAATCCCAACCATACAAGGTACATTCACACTCAATAGAATGTATAAACTATGTACACACATCCATACTTGTCTCACCACTTACCCTTTTGTGCACACACACACACACACACACACACACACACACACACACACAGCTGAGTAGTCAAGGGGAACTGGGAGCAGTGGTGACATTTAGAAAGGCTGTGTCTGCTTCTTCTCTCTGCTCTGGGCTTTATGAGCTCACAAATACACATACAGTACTACGTAAAAGTCCATGTAGAGACCACCCCTCGTTTAACCTCCGGTCAAAACGGCTATTAAGTAAAAGTTACTAATTTTTCAGCAGATAAGGAATATTTATACAAAAACCTCAACACCTGAATATGTTTTACCTTCATTACACCTCCAAAGTTCAGTCTCAGAAGTTGGTAGCATTTTCTGCTTCTCAAGTAATTCCATGCAGTGATGCTGAGGTCTGGACTCCGAGGTGGTCAGTCCATAGCTTCTTTGTTTAATATGCAAATGTTCTGGTTTTGCATTTTCTTTTCTTAGTAAGGGCTTTTTTGACTGTTACACATCCTTTCAGACCACAGCGCCGAGTTGTCTTCTGACAGTGGACAAAACATCTGTGGAGTGGTGCTTGATTCTCCTGTCACATAAGAGATAAAGTACTGTTTATCTCTGATGGTGAGTGTATTTGTGGTCCACCAGGTCTTGCACCGCTGTTTGGAGTCCCATTTTTTGTGCACTCTAGTTTTGTAAACTTGTATTTTTTCACTTATTTTCCTTTGACTTTTTCCTTCCTTATGCAAGAGACTTAATAGTTGTTTCGACTGGAAAGTAAATAAGTGAAGGGTGGCCTCTGACTTTTGGACAGTACTGTACATACACACCATTTGTAACTTTCCCTCAATAACCTAATACAAAGGAGCTGTCACAGAAGCAATACTATTCCCCACCATGCAGAACCAGCCCAGCAAACACAGAAGTGAAATAAGACATAGATTCCTCTTTGGATCACCACAGCTTCCCTACAGGCATAAAAGAGCAGCCTCAAGTTAACATCTGTGGCTCTAACAACTTGAGGTCACGCTAACCAGCCTTGGCCGAAAAAACCTCCTCTAACATTCAGCGAGAATAGATCAGTACACTCCCATACAGTATGCTGAAGGCTTAAATAATGGCTATGGTCCACGCACATCAGGTCATCTGATACAATAAGAAAATAAAAAGCGGAACAGGTCTTGTGAAGTCTTTTTTTCCCGTAACAATGAATAAGAGAAGCTGATAAAGTTGCATCCTGTGAACTTTAGGCAGCATCGTTGGTCTCAGTGCTATAAAAACGACCTCTTTGAGGAAGTGGGCAAACAAAAATCTCTTGAAACGAAAAAACCCTGAAAATGAAAACAGAAGAAAAACAACATCCGAACAAAGACATGGAGCATCGTCGTCTCATATTCATGGCTTAAATGGCAGCAGACATTTAGGCAAATAACCTTATTATACAATTTCACTTTTTGTTTGTTCCGTTAAGATTTGCAGTGAATATAATTCATTTAATCTTTCGTTTAAACCCGCAGAGGTCTTCCCCCTTAGTCTGAAGTGGGCTCAGTCATTCTTTCCTTTAGGCTCATGTGTTGTCTTGTCTCCCTGCTGGACTTCAGTTCGTCCCAGGAAGATAAGCACAGTCTGGCAGCTCGAGAGCCACAAGGGTGGGAACACCGGCCATCGAGGCAGCGAGCGAAGGGATACTTTTGAGTGATGAAGCAGCGTCTGTCTCTCTTGGCCTGGTCCAGTGCTGATCCAGTGTTAGGGCTGCAAGTAATGATTCTTTCTAAAGTCGATTAATCTATAGACTGTTACTCGATTAATCGGCTAATCGAATCATTATGCTTTCCTCGGTTCCTTTCTCCTGCCGCTGCCATTGTTCAAGGCTCCGTCTGTCTGTTCCCCAAATTGCAGCCCTATCCAGTGATCTGTAGCCCCTTTTTCTCCCCAATCTCCCCCCGCTACCAGCGGTTAATGATGTGGTTCATGTAGTCTTCCGTGGGCAGGCGGGAAGCTGCTTCCGACTCAGCTGTTCCCTCATCCCTGGACCAAGGCAGGTCGTTTGGGGCGAAGCCAGGGGAGCGCAGAAAGGGCAACAAGGCGGCCCGCTCCTTCAGCCTCTGCTCGCGCCTCTCCAGCTGCCTCTGGTACATGTACCTCTGCTGGAAGAGGTCCCAGGCGTAGTCGTAGAGCTGCACGTCCAGGTCGTTGAGCTCCTCGATGCGCTGGACCGTGTCATTGTCCAGGTCCACGCCGGCTGCTCGCGTGCTGTTGTACTGCACGAAGGGCTGGATGAAGCGCAGGCGGAAGGTGCGCTCGAACAGGTACTGCGTCTTGCGCTGGAACTCGGTCAGGCCGAAGAAGGCCATGTCGCGCAGGTTCTTCTTGGCTGACTCCAGCAGGATCTGAGCGCGCTTCTTCTCGGGCAGCGTGGACATGTTGTAGCAGCCCACTAGGCTCAGGTCGGCCAGCATGCGCACCTGCCGGTTGTTGGCCAGGTTATACGGGCAGTCCATGAACTGCTGTAGCGTGCAGCCCGACCAGTCTGCGCCCTCGTAGCATGACGGAAGTTCCTCGGGCGTTGGTGTGCGGCCATCACACATGTGCAGTGCGGTCTTCCACGTGGCGCCACGCTGGACGTGCCGCCACTCGCTGAGGTAGCGAGACACTGGGTCCCTCAGGAGGGTGATGTAATAGAACTTCCTGCAAGATGAGAGAGGAGAAATAAAGGGTCAGTTAGCATTCAGTGTAGGTCACCTATATGTTCTGGCCAATCCATGGCCCTCACACAAATGCATTCTCTTGGAGATACTGTTGTGAAGAGTTTTTCTCAAAATACCTGACTTTGACTTATTAATTTCAAGGATTAATTTTCTATTGTTAGGCCACTGTAACACCAGGCATTTGCAGTTTGCACTGCCTTCTGGTATAATATAGTCTCCTGACTGACCGTGGATCATGCAGTCTCTCTTTCATGTGTTTATATCTTAGTGGGGAAGAAATGTTTAAATAGTAGTACTTAGACTCTGGTACATCAGCATTTTCAGTGCGTCCAACACTGTAGCTGAACTCGACATGAAGTTTCACGTGCAAAATTTATCCGCTTCATAAGTTTTCTATCACAGAGAATTCCACTGAAATAACTGAATTGTTAGTGACTAGATAGTTTGGGCGCAATATTTTTTCCTACGTAATCAGAGGTTTTAGGAATAACAAGAACGTTAACTGTTTTGAATGTTATGCTTGCAAACTTTAAAAAATTATAAAGCCTTGAAGTGGCCAACGTCACTAACTAACTACGGCATACGCCTGTCCCCCGGGTCTCAATGACCTCCTGGGTGCCGCCTCTGGTCCTGCAGTGAGGCCACTTTAATTTGCCTCATGTCCAATCTGAGTGGAAGAGCTGCGGAGTGAGGGGCGATAACGAGGAGGCGGAGAAATGAGCTCTCCTTCCCTCTCTGCTCAGGCGCTTACGCTGACAGCCAGATCAGCATAGGGGCAGCGTGAGCGCCTGAGCAGAGAGGAACGAAAAAGAGCAGAGAGGGAACGAAAGCTCAAGAGCAGAGAGGGAACAGGGAGAGCGGGACGAGCAGCAGCAGAGGACTGAAGAGCTGAAAATGCTTAGTTTGAAAAGGACTAAAATGTCTAGCTTAGCTTTGGGTGTTTGGTTTTGTTTTTTTATGGTTGACCTTGAAATTAAAACCGGAGGCAGCGCTCTGGAGGCGGGGCTCGGGACTCCCCCACCCCCCACCCCCCGCCTTCCCACCCGGCTCTCTCGTCGATGGTCATCGGGGCCCGGGGGACAAGTGCATGCCATACTAACGTACCAAGGATTTACAGCCATTCCCTTTCATGTATGCCATGTATACCTGCGTTCCACAAGAATGATCAATATCAACTATACAACTGTCTAAATGTTGGCCCTCTCATCTAGAGACCGCAAGTTCAATCCCCAGTGATCCCACAGTCAACCGAGTTCAACAGAGCATTACTGGCCTCACTCTCTCTGGGTGGGTAGGGTGGCCTCTTTCTCTCCCCTCATACTCAGCACGATGCTATCTAGTGTTAGCTGAACAGAATTGGCACTTAGTGTTCTCCAAGCGCGTTAAACTACCCAATGGTGTTTTGTTAGTGGCAGTTTGAAAAAGATGCTATGGCTGGCCTCACAGGTCTCAGAGAAAGCGCAATTAACTAGCGGATGAAATTTGCTAAATTGGGGTGAAAACTGGATAAAAAGAAAAGGTATTTTGGTTCAACATGCTGAATGTGATTTTGTCATGGTTCTGTAAAGCTCGTCCAACTTAGCAACAGTAGCTACAAAACAATGCCTTGCTGCCAAATGTGGACAGCTATGCCTTTATTCCTCCAAAAAACTGTTTATGGATGATGAAAAATGAAAGTTAATGACTGAAGGTCAAGTTAACTATATTATCTGCAGCCGTACAATAACAGACAATTACCTGGATGTTTCCTGAGCTTTTACAACAGAACATTTTAAATAAAAAAGTCTGGAAAGTGTCAAAATACAGTTTTTAATGAACTATCAACCATACAGATACTTTTTATGGGATTTTGCAAGAGAGAAAGAGAGAGTGAGTGCGGGAAAGAGAGAGGGCGAGAGAGGGATAGAGAGAGAGGGTGAAAGAGAGAGAAAGAGCACAATCAAGTGTAAAGTGGATGTGACTGTAAGTCACTTCATTATTCTATTCCTCATAAGAGTCCATTATTATTCATTATTCACTACACAAGTGGGAGAGAAAAAGGAGGCGCGCTAATGAACGCCACAAAAACCTCCAAATTTCGCAGCTCCTGCTTCTGTCTAATCAAATCTCGCATTAGTAAATTAATCACCGGAACAGCTCCGGCGTGCTCATCTGACTGTGTAGAGCGTAATGAGGGCAGCTTGGTTCTGAAGGGATACCTCCACAAAATGTCATCATCATGGTTTACTGTCGTTTTGGATCTAAAACCTATACCATTAAAGTGATCTACTGTGATATCATATAATCTCATTTCACTATTGTAATATGTTGATATATACTGTTACTTAAATGATCATTTCATACATTTTGTGATGCTAATGATGTAACCAGGATTCATTTACACAGTTAATGCCCACCAGCTTCTGCAAAAATATATGTTATGCTATTTTTTAGACTTTAATAACATGTCCTTATTAGTGTCTACACTTTGATATGTACGATATTTATTTCATATCACATTGATATGAAAGATTTAAAGCTAGAAAAATCTAAAGCTATTTATGCTAAAATAGTTTGAAAGAGCACATACATACACACACACACACACACACACACACACACACACACACACATACATATGTGTGTGTGTATATATATATATATATATATATATATATATATATATGTCACAAAACCTCATATCTCCATGTTTGTAGTTTTATAATTTGAAAATGCCTGCTGTCCTTTACATTGAGTTAAATTAAAAGTAAAGTAGGTTTTTTCCTTCTCCTGTAAAGTTACTATGTTGGAGATAGAAGGTTTTCTTCCGACAACAGTGATATATATATATATATATATATATATATATATATATATATATTATATATATATATCGCAACAGAATGGAGCAACAGGTTTGTTGATGCCACTGTTTTCTTTCATTAAACTTGACCCACCACACTCTACTGAATCACCAATCAGCAGCAGCTGAAGCACGTTTATATTCATTTGCAGATAACCAACTCCACATAAACCGATGGTGACGTAAACAATGGACCACTGATTCGTCCTGTCCAACTAGTCGACTAGTTAACTGAAAGTGTTTTCCCACTGTGCAGCAGTGTGGTTCGGTTAGTACAGTTACAAATCTGTAATCAGTTATTTTGTCGTTGTTTCCACTGCCAAGTGACCTGTACCACACCTGAGTACCCGTGCTTAATTTGGTTAGCCATCTGGGGAATCATGCAAGCCAAGCTGGACTGTATGGGTGGACCTAGGAATTATGCAAACCACTGATTGGTCAAACACAATCGTCATGCAGTGTTACTGAATTCAGATAATAATAATAAATCACTGTATGTGACTATTTACATAAAGCCAAAAAAAATAAATAAATCGTAACTAGAAACTTTTCCACTGCTCCTGCATACCATTAATGCTAGATTCCTGTGGGAAATTGCTATTTTGATATTCACTACATTTAAGACAGAGAAAATATACAGACAACAATTCAGAAAAACGCTGATTTTATGTTTTAACAAAACAGTAAAACATTAAAGTTTCACTCATATTGGAGAGTAAGTATTTAATGTGACACTTTGCTAATCCAAAACGTTGGTTAAGGACGTAAGTGAGAGGGCAGAGGTATAGCTGCTTTTATCGTTAAACAAGCTAGACTCATGTTAGATCCAGAAACAGTTAAAATATCATCCAATTAAGAGGAAAAAACACCTGTAGAAGACGAGGACTCTCCTTCAGCATCTCGCGTTGCCAGTTAACAGTAGTTTTTAGCTCATTAGCTCCTCTAAATGAGCTCAGTTAAGTTACTAATCTGACATGAAACCCTAGTTAACTATATGTTTGCATAATAGAAATTATTTTGAAATGTGTTGCTCTGCATGATGCTATATTGTGTGAAGAAGGGAAGCCGCAGCTCTACAACAATGTCAACTTTTCATGTACTCGAATATCGTCACATCCCTATTAGGGGACTAATTTGCATATTGCAGCAATGTCTCTGTTGCAGAGGCCAATATCACCATGATCAACAAATGACACGCTGTGCAGCCGTAGTCCGTAAGAGATGAAATAAAATACTTAAAATACTACTACAACAAAAATACTTCTGATATGCATGACCGACTTAAAGTGAAGCGTTCACTGCTAGCTGCTGCTACCTAGCCGCATGCTACTGATAATCACAGATGTATGAAACACTGTTATTGTTTTTTTTCTTTAGCTCTTGTAAAAGAAGGCTAGTTGACTATTGTGCGACCATATCATGGTGCAAATGAATGCAGTAATAGCCTCTAGACTGTGTGTCCTATTAGCGGTTGGCTTCAGTGCATACATGATGGACAGACAAGCTGACAGCAGCCAGCTTATATCCAGCTCTGTTACTCTGTGACTGGATTGGCCTGAGGCAACACACACACACACACACACACACACACACAAGGACACAATACAGACACATTGTGCAAAGACTCAAGGACAGGGCAGCATCAGGGGGAGGCACGGACAGGCTTAGCAATCCCTGAGAAAACATGAGGCCCTCCTGCGAGGTGTGAGAAACTTCTTAACATGTTACCGATAGTTTTAACAAACAACGAGTGGAGGCTAATGAGTGGTACTGCTCACTCACACAAAGACAAATCAGCATAGCTGTGGGCAGTTTCATTATACACTGATATGACTGACCAAAGGTGCATATGACTGTACATGATTTTGGCAAATAACCTTGTCACTCCGCATAATGGTGATTGGGTAGTACATTCAGAGGCGGCTGGTCAATAGACCATCATCCCCAAAGTAAAAACAAATCAATAGATACATCAAATAAAATAATTTAGTACAGTAATTAATCTTGATTTACATATCATTTTGTGTAGTTATTCATGTTTCATGGCATTTATGTGATCTAAATTGGGTTTAATTTAAAACAGTACATTTTGTTATGGCTATATAGGTGGACAAAATAAGCTTCCTCTAAACGTTTTC